CCCCCCCCGCGGCCTGGGGCACTGCCCTCCTGGACGCTCCACTGGTCCAGCTTGGACTGTTTCGAAAGTGGTCGTCGTTACGAATGTGGTGCGCGCTGCGCCGTGCCGTGCCGCGCTATGAGCGCACAGAGTGATGCGAGCAATCAAGTGGACGAGCAAGAGGCTCGTATCTGCGTGGCGTGTGCTGGCAAGTTACACGCCAATCCTCTGTCCCTCCCCTCCCCTCCCCGCCTTGTGTTCTGTTCCCTCCCCCTCCCTCGCGATGATTGTCTTTCCCCTCCATGGCCTATACCACCACTTCTCTTATTGGCTTCGGCTTCCGTTTGTGGTATGCGATCTGCTGCGGCAGGCCAAGGAGTAGTAGAGAATTAGTAAGCGCTCGAAAATCGTTAAAAGTAAAACTAAAAATATTTATTTTAGTGCGTAATTTTGGATCGGTCTGTCTACACCGTCTCTTTAACGTATCGGAAAGAAAAATTGGGTTTATGCGCAGTGTTTTATTATGTATGCATCGTACCTGCCAACAGCTTGACTTGGTTAGACGTGTGGGGACAGCTGCGGGGCAGCTGAAGGCAGGGGCGCGCGTTCAACGCAGCTGCCAAGCAAAGCAGGCGCCACCGACCGCAGGCGCGATCGCTGTTGGCTGGACCTCTCTAGAAGGGTGCAGCTGAGCTGGCTGTGCAGCTGCTGTGTGTGTGTGTGTGTGTGTGTGTGTGGCGGACATTAGATCACCGGCAGCTGCAACGGTGCGCTCGTTATGAGCGCAACGCCCGCAGGAACAGAGCGTGCCGTGCGCCTGCGAGCGTGCGTTTGCTTGCGTGCGTCCGGGTGCGTGCGGGCGGGCGCGGGCCCACATGATGAGAGTGAAGACATTTGGGACGTTAGGAAAGTCCACACGCCGGATCTCCTTTGTGTGTTGGTATGTCTTATTCGCATACGTGTGCCGTGCACCTGAAGATGGATAGCGTGAGCGTCTATCGAAGTATGTGGTACATGATTACTTTTTTTTTCGATTTCCGAAACCTTTTGACTCTGGGTTTATTTCTATCTGACGAGCCCCGAAACTGGGTTGGGTGTGACGGAAGCTGGCGTCTAGACCTGATCGGAAGTCGTCCGGACTGACCGGAGCTGCCCTGTGTTACACGAGCTCGTAACAGCTAACGGGGCAAGGTTACCACATCGGGGCTGACTGGGCGGGGGAATCAGGTACACTGCTAGCTTAGTGTGGGTTTCAGTCGTTTATTTTACTTATATATTATCCACTTAAATATTACTCTTTTGGATGAAGTGAGATGACATGACGCTAAGGCGAAGGCGGATGGATGGATGGGGGGAGGGGATGAAGAGTGGGATGGGGACGAGGGGATGACGATGAAGAGAGCGAGGATGAAGGACGAGAATCACATTTTGGAGGGGCTGCAGGGCCGGGGCCGCGAAGGGCGCGCAGGACACGCGCCATCCCGCTGCTCCAGGTCCCGGGGCCCGTGGTCGCGACGCGAAGCGACCCGCTTAGTAGTGGCCGCCGTGCTCCTCGTGGCCGTAGCTCTCGTGGTGGTGCTCCTCCTTGTGGTACACGGGGTAGGGCACGTGCTTGACGACCTCGACGGGGTAGGGCTGGGGCACGGGCACCTTGATGGGCACCTTGACTTCGTAGGGGACCTTCTTCTCAACGGTGTAGGGCACCTTCTTCTCGACGATGACGGGGTAGGGCTTGGGGACGTGCACGTGGTACGGCCTGTCGACGGGCACCTTGACCTCGTAGGGGATCTTCTTCTCGACGGTGTAGGGAACGTGCTTGTCGACGGGCACGTGCACGGGGTAGGGCTTGTCGATGGGGACCTTGACCTCGTACGGGACCTTCTTCTCGACGGTGTAGGGCACCTTCTTCTCGACGACAACGGTGTAGGGCTTGGGCACGGACACGTGGTACGGCCTGTCGACGGGCACCTTGACGGGGTAGGGCACGTGCTTCTCGACGGTCACGTGGTAGGGCTGGGGCACGGGCACCTTGACCTCATAGGGGACGGGCTTCTCGACGGTGACGGGGTAGGGCTTGGGGACGGACACATGGTACGGCCTGTCGACGGGGACCTTGACTTCGTAAGGCACCTTCTTCTCGATGGTGACGGGGTATGGGACCGGGATCTCCTTGTGGACGGTGACGGTCTTGACGTGCTCGTGGTGCACGGGGTGGTGTTCGTAGTCTCCGCGCTCGATGTGCGAGTAGCTGCCGCCGCCGTAGCTGCCGCCGTAGCTGCCACCGTAGCTGCCCAGCTCGATGCCGCCGCCGTAGCCCAGGTCGTGGAGGCCACGCTTCTCCTGCTTCTTCTCCTCGGTGGCCGCCACCTCCTTCTTCTCCTCCGCCGCCTTCTGCTCCTCTGCCGCGGCAAGCGCCAGGAGCGCTGCCAGCGACAGCAGAAGTACCTGAAAGGAAGAAAAGAAAACAACGTCGGAGTTAGACGTGAACATGGAACGGGCGCCGGCCATGCTGGACCAAACCAACTCGCCTTTCCGCCCCACCCCGCCCCGCCACGCACTGCTCTCCTAGATCAGCCCACTTTCTCCTCGCTGCAGGGTGCACCGCTCGCCGTTCACCCACGTGAGGGCGCGCGGGCGCGCACGTGACTAACGTGATCCCCCTCCCTGCAGCAGCAGACAATCCATGAGTGGATGTCCCGCTTGCCGAGCAGACTATTTGCAGATCTGAGGGCCATCGCCCAAGAGCGTGACTCCCCGGCGGCAGACTCCCCATGAGCGGATATCTCGCTCGCCTAAGTGACTACTTGCTACTCTCAGGGCCGTCGCTCATGAGCGTGTTCGTGGCGAAACTCCCTCGTCGAGGGAAGCCCGGGTGGGGGAGCGGGGCACTGACCCAAATTGTCCTGCCGTCCGGCCGCGTGTAGGGTGGATTGATACCACGCCAGCCGCTTTATCAAATTGCCTCACACGCCAATTGCCTGCCGCCGGCTTGCCTATTGTTCTACCCCCTCCCCGTTGCCTGGCTGGCTCTGCCTGCCCAAGGGTTACGCAACGCTCCGGCAGAATCCATCCGCAGAGAGTCGTGCCCGAAGCGATACGTCTGCAATTCCAGCTTTCTATTCTACCTCGCAATTTTTCTGATCCACACCCAACCCCATGCTCCCCTCCCCCACCTCTCCTGCTCTAGCAGAAGGCCGTCGGCTCTCCACCTTCCACGAAATGTTAACGAGGGATGTATTTACAGTTCCCGTTTAAAACGTTGAGCCGTAGGTATTTTTTTTAAGGACGTTACACTCACTGTTAAAAAGAAGGCCCTACAATGGCCAGAATAGCAAACCTATACCGTGCTTTTCGGCGTGTTGCTGCCGGAAGCGGGCTCCATTCGTATCCATTTCGTATCACTTTCTTCGTTGTTTCACTTTTGCACTTGTATACTTACTCCCTGGCGAGTTATCCTTGGGTCGAGTCACTATTTCACTTCACTTTGCCACTCACCTTGCGGTTCATGTTGCTCTGTGTGGAGTGCTGCAGTCCCGGTGCTGGACTGTGCCTCCTCCCGCCCCCAGGAGCCTCTTATACCGGCGGCCGCCCGGAGCCCTTCCCCCGCCTGGCGCGGCGCCGGAGCGCCTCTACGGCC